TATGATGTCATTATCATTACCAAGTTGAATTACTTAATTCATTTCCAAAACATTGTCTGTATGTAAATGCAAAAGACAGATATCTATACTGAATAACCTCACGTCATAAATAAGATCATTAACTGAGTCTCTAGTCACGGCATTACAACACGTAAGCTGCACAACCCTGATAGTTTATACAACTCAAATCTAAACAACGATACATAATCAAATGTGGCATAGACAATCCTCATGCTCACCAAATAAGGCAATAAGGCCCAACAAAGTCTCAATTCAATAACATATCATGAAACTAAGAGCATAATAGAAACATACATAATCCAACATCCAACATAAGCAGCAAAACAACATATAAATCAGCTAAGCTCCGGCCTCCTGCCGCTAGAGGTCTCAACCCCTGGGTTACCTGAACCTGAAATAAGCGCTCCAAACGTGGGGTGAGATCTCTAAACAGAAATCTCAGTAAGACAAGAGGTCCTCAAGGATCTTCCACCCCAAGCTCACTTACATGTGCAATATAAGTTCCAAAAATAGTTCAACATGTATAAGTTCCAAAATAGTGCAATGCAGCAGATAATCATGTCATGTGTGTTATAACTAATCTACTGGCCAGAGAAATGAAGGAATACGTCTATTACCCATACTAGTGCAAGACGCCACTTGCACCCACCCACAGTGTCACCGTCTTGTATGACGCCACATACTCCGGCTAACCGTCTAAGTGGAAACAACACATACATATTAAAAGCCCTTGCACATAAAGTTAACAGAAACACAGCAAGCATATAAACCATTCCCCTATAGGACAATGGCTAAACCGAGGACACGAAAGCTTACCTTGCAAGCTAACAATCCAAGCCAAGAGTCCAACCAAGCTCAAAGCCCAAACACAGCAAAATCACAATCTGTTATGGACCAGAATAACATTAATATTCAAACTCTACAAGCAAACGACATAAAGACAACGTCTTTCCTTACGTTTCATGTCTTTAGGCTTCTCACAAAGCCACAAGCCCTTAATCACTTGATTCTGACTTAGTTTAATTATTATAGAAGTTCCACTTCATCAATCTAGGGTCCACAAACCCAAAACAGCCTCCTGTATGAACAGTGCGGCTACTGTTCTTCAAAAACCCAGAATATCTGGATATTTGTCGAGGCCATATCCGGATATCCCATATCTGGATATCATATCCGGATATCCATATGCGGATATCACAAGACTCCATATCCGGATATCATATCCGGATATTTCACGACAGAATGCAGATTCTGCATTTCGTGAATATATCCATTAAAGGTTGTGTTTTTAACACTTCCTAACATTCAAGAACCCATTTTTAAGCATCTAAAGGTTCATATACGTGTTGGTTACTTGTTTAACTCATTAAACATGGCAAGACTCCACCTTTACTCATTAAAACTCATGATCAAAGTTGATGAACTTACCCAAGGCTCTCAAAACAGAACAAGGGAGGCTCTTGGAGCTCCCAATGTCACTCTACTGAGCAGCAACCAAGAGACCACGAAAATACACTCCAAGGAGGATCCTTTCTCTACAAAGAAAGCTTCTTGGAGCCTAAAATGCAAAGACAATGGCCTTCCCAAGGGGAACCCACCAACTCAGCCCACCAAACCCCACAAACCAGAAGCCACACTCAACAACAAGGCTTCTCAACCTACTCACAATCAACTACTAGGTGTTTATAAGGTTTAGTGTGAAGGAATCAAAGGTGTATGGAGCTCAAGTTCATGAAGGGAGAAAAATGACTGAAGGTGGTCAACTCTCACAAGCCTCACGTAGCAGCCAAATTATGGCCTAGGGTTTTGTGCCCTTAGGCTTATATAGTTTCATTAATTTAATCCTACAGTATTAGCACTAATAGCTACGCTTAGCACTTTAATCCCAAACTTTGGAATCTGAACCTACTCATTTTTCTAAGATTTATCATATTTTTATTTTATTTTTCGAGCACCTTTCCGGTACACGCTTTTCTATAGCCAATGTTTTTTAATATATATATATATATATATATATATATATATATATATATTATAACTATTAGATGCACAGAAATCAATCGTTAAGATTTTGTATAAGACTTGTTATTGTTACACCGGTGTAAGTTGATCATATCTACTCACTCACACACATAGGCTGAGTAGATGAGGAAAGAATTGAGTTTGATTCCCTCCAAATACATCTTTGGAGAGGGGCGAAGAGATTTAAATGTGAGGATACCTGGGGGCTAACTCGCCTAAAAAAGGTAATTAGTCCTATAGTCGGCTCAAAGAGTTGAGATTTGTGAGGGTCGAGTAGCCTCAGAGAGGTAATTAGGGTCAGTATACCAAAAAAAAAAGGTTTTCACTTCAAAATATAATACATCTTTATGCAAAGTGATTTCATTTTAATTACATACATTAAATGTTATAACCATAAGATAAGGTCATGTTTGGTTATCAGAATAGATAGGACATAATAGGATATCATATCTCGTCTTATCCATCATTTGATGAACTAACATGATATAATAAGCTTTTCTTATTGGCTCATTTTATCTTGCCCCCAATAGGATCTTCTTTTATGAGTTTTGTTAAGCATGTGAGAGTTAACCCTTGTCGTCTACCAACCACCATCACTCCACTGGCCAGCCCCACCTATCACCAACGCACCAACCACCACTCTGCCATCGATATTGGCCACCTCCACCACCACCAACTAGCCACGACCTTGGCCCACCGCCATCCTAACCACTGTGCACCAACCATCACTAGCACCATTAGTCGCTGCCACCATCAGTCAGTCACTACAATTGTCATTAGCCATTTTTGGCGCCATCATTGTTACCCATCACCACTGGCCCCTCTAACTACCACCATCACCACTTCAACCAACTACCCCTACCTGGCACCCACTCACCATCCATTATTGCAATCAACTATAAATATTAACAATGTATTTAAAACTTAATAAATTTAATAAGGATATCATTTTGATTTTGGGAAATTTTATAAGTTATTTATATATTTTAATATGGGGACAATTATACTTACCACTCAAAAAGTTTACCTACCTTTCAACCAATTTAATCACCCTTACATTAATTTTAGATCTAATGGCTCACAATTAGTTCTTGTAATCCTAATTCTTTACTCATTCGTTCTCTCTCATCCATTTTCTCTCGGACTGCAAATTTTTTCATCTCAGGCTTCTATCTGTTTAAATCAGAGCAATAGCAAGAAATTGGGTTTCTCCATTTGTGCCTAAACGGTGGAAACTCACAGCCATTCTCGATTATTGGGGTCTGCGAATTGAGAATGAAATGAATCAATCAATGTGAAAGTTTATGTTTAAGTCTCACCCTAGTTCTTCTCCTTGATTTTGTGTATTAGGGATTTCAAAAATGATGTCTCAGTTTAACATAAACGGGGATAATTTTAAAAAATAAATTAGTGGTTAGAATTTAGAGATATGCATAATTTGTACCCATCTTTTTGCCATCCACAGCTAATCTAGTAGGGGAAGGATATTATGACAACCAAGTTGTGTTACTACCAAGTGACTACCAATTAATCTCACCGTTAGATCGATTATGTGGATCCAACGATTATATTTATTTCCATCTTTGTATGGTCATGATTTTCCAAATTTAATACTTTATATTTATTTCCACCTTTGTATGGTTATGATTTTCCATATTTAATGCTTTCACTTTAAATATGGAAAATCATAACTATACAAAGATGAAAATAAATATAACCGTTGGATCAACATAATCGATCTAACGGTGAGATTAATTGGTAGTCACCTAGTAGTAACACAACTTGGTTGTCATAATATCCTTCATCCCCAATCAATTATAGTTTTCATTTAATCAAAGGTAATTACACCTTTTGAACTCATGGCAAAATGATTTATACTTGAGAATATGGAAATGAATGACACATTGAAAAATGAGACAAATAATGAAGATGGTATTTTCTCAGGTTTGCAGATTGTTAGGTTTCTTAAATTCGGTATGGCAGAGGGCATTTTACAGTGAGAGAGCATTGATAACCCTAGAAAAAGAGGAAGAAATTAGGTTGAGGAATATAGATGATTCAAAAGCAAAGCCTGTAGAGAAGAGCGCGTAGGAGCTTCAGGTGAGATCAACCATGACGAAAGAGAAAGAGTGAAGAGAAAAAGAGAGAGTTGTTAGATCTAGAGAGAAGATGATAAGTTATACTCAGGATTATACGTATTCGTTATGAGCCGTTGAATTTAATTTTGATCAAATGGTAATTAAGTTGATTGTAAGGGTGATAAACTTTTTTAGTGGTAAGTATAATCATTTCCTTTTAATATATTTCATTTAAAGTTATGAATTTTAAAAAAATTTATTAATTAAAATAAGAATTAATGTATAACTAAGTAAAAAAAGGTGGTTAAAAATCAATTTTAAAAAATTATATAAAATTATCTTTAGAAAAAAATATTTTTATCTATTTATATGTTTCGCCTCAAATACTACATAAGATAATATTATCCTATAAAATTACTTATCTAATATAAATTAAGGGTTTATGTTTTCTTATGTCACATAAGAAAACATATTTCCAGCCATAGATACAATTTTTAATGTTGGATCCACTTGTAATTAAAAAGTAAAAGTAAAAAACTGATTTGGAATTGTTTATGTATCTATAAGAAAAATTGTTATCTCATTAAGATTAGAAAATATAACCCATAAATCAAATAGATGACATATCATTTTCTATTCTTATCGGGTGCTCTAATCATATCCATTTCTATTCTACCTTTATCATCTAACCAGCCTTAATTTTCAATTATGATGATGGTAAAATACATCATGCACAACATTTTGTTTTTTGTCGTATAGCACGGAAGGTGGCAGCGAGAATAAAAATAAAAAAAGAAAATAAAAAAGTAACAGAAAGGAAAATAAAAATTCCGTCTATGTCCAGCTTGGTGTTCTGTTCCCTTCCTCTGTTTCGTTTCAGGTCAATTTTCCTCCATATTTTCGCAACCCTAACCCTAACACATCCCTGCAAATTCCTTCGCTGTCCGTTCCATGAGGAAAATTGATTTCCAATTTCACTCAGTTAACCTCAATTCTCAGCAAAATTCCGCTAAATTTCGGTTCTATAAACCCTAATTTGTCAGCCTGCCACAGACTCAGCACATTGGGTTTCCTCCATGGGAGATCAACTCCCTCCACCACCGTCCTCCGGCGATGACGCCGACCCCTACGGCACCTGGAACGGAAACATCGACTACTTGCTTAACATATCGGCGATCGGCGCCTTCTGCTGCCTCTTTATTTTCCTCTTCGTGAAGCTCCGCAGCGACCACCGCCGTATGCCGGGCCCCACTGCCCTTATCACCAAGCTCCTCGCCGTCTGGCACGCCACCGGCCGAGAAATCGCCCGCCACTGCGGCGCCGACGCCGCGCAGTTCCTCATCATTGAAGGCGGCAGCTGCGCCGTCCTCTTGTCGATCGCGGCGTTGGCTTTGGCCGTGTTGCTTCCGCTTAATCTCTATGGAGGGACCGCTATTTTGGACGACCAATTCTCCAAAACAACGATCAATCACATTGAGAAAGGTTCGCCTTTGCTTTGGATTCATTTCCTTTTCGCTGTGGTTGTGGTTGTTTTGGTTCATTTTGGCATTTCCGCCACTGAAGAACGTTTAAGGATTACTAGGTTTAGAGACGGGCGTGGTAATTTGAGTGATCCCACTGTGAATTCCACTGCTATATTCACTATAATGGTTCAGGGTTTGCCCAAAATTGTAGGGGCTGATAGGGCTTTGTTGCAGGAGTATTTTCAGTATAGATATCCTGGGAAGGTTTATAAGGTTATTGTACCAGTGGATTTGTGTGCATTGGATGATCTGGCCACGGAGTTGTTGCAGGTAAGGGATGAGATTTCATGGTTGGTGGCAAGGATTGACTCTCGGCTTTTGCCCGGTGGCGATGGTGAAGATGATGGAAGTGTGAGGCGTGCTTCCCGGGGTTTATGGGGTTGGACTGTTAGTTGTGGGAGACGTTTGAAAGATTTTTATGCTGATATTATGGCTAGATTTGGTTACACTGATGAAGAGAGGTTGAGAAAATTGCAAGAACTGAGGGCTGATCTGGAGACTGAGTTAGCTGCATACAAAGAAGGCCGTGCACCTGGTGCTGGAGTTGCATTCGTTATGTTCAGGGATGTTTATACTGCTAATAAAGCTGTTCAGGATTTTCAGAATGAGAAGAGGAGGCGAATTGGGAAGTTCTTTTCTCTCACGGAGTTGCGTTTGCGGAGAAACCAATGGAAAGTTGAGCGTGCTCCCTTGGCATCTGACATTTACTGGAAAAATATGGGAACACCAAAGCTCTCACTAAAATTGCGGAGAGTGTTTGTGAATACTTGCTTGTTGTTGATGCTCTTATTCTTTAGTTCTCCCCTTGCTGTGATCAGTGCTTTTAAGAGTGCTGGAAGGATCTTCAATGCTGAAGCTATGGATAATGCACAACTGTGGTTGGCTTGGGTGCAAAGCTCTAGCTGGCTTGCAAGTCTTATTTTTCAATTCCTACCTAATGTTATCATATTTGTTAGCATGTACATAGTAATCCCATCAGCTCTTTCCTATCTCTCAAAATTTGAACGTCATCTGACAGTGTCTGGGGAGCAAAAAGCTGCACTCTTGAAGATGGTTTGCTTCTTCCTTGTAAATCTCATTCTCTTGAGGGGTCTGGTAGAATCGTCGTTAGAGAGTGCCATCCTGAAGATGGGACGGTGCTATTTGGATGGAGAAGATTGTAAGAGGATTGAGCAATATATGAGTGCATCATTCCTGTCAAAATCATGCCTTTCCTCTCTTGCATTTATGATCACAAGCACTTTCTTGGGCATATCGTATGATCTTTTGACACCCATTCCTTGGATTAAAAGAAACATTCAAAAGTTTCGGAAGAATGATATGCTTCAGTTAGTTCCAGAACAAAGTGAAGAATACCCGTTAGAACATCAGGACATAGATAGTCTTCAGAGACCACTGATGAATGGCAGCGCTTATGACACTTCCAATGGGGATAATGAGGGACAAGATCTTTATGTCTATCCAATCACTGGAAGCTCACCTGTTCCAAAACAGACATTCGATTTTGCACAGTATTATGCCTTTAATTTGACAATATTTGCCCTGACTCTGGTATACTGTTCGTTCAATCCACTTGTGGTCCCTGTTGGTGCAGTTTATTTTGGTTATAGATATGTGGTTGACAAGTACAATTTTCTGTTTGTATATCGAGTTCGGGGCTTTCCAGCAGGCAACGACGGGAGGTTAATAGATACTGTAATATGCATCATGCGTTTCTGCGTCGATCTATTTCTACTTGCTATGCTCCTATTCTTCTCAGTTCAAGGGGACTCTACGAAGTTGCAAGCTATATTCACTCTTGGGTTGTTAGTCATGTATAAACTACTACCTTCCAGTAATGATAGTTTTCAATCAACCCTTTTGGAGGGTATTCAAACGGTTGATAACGTTGTAGATAGACCCATTGATTATGAGGTCTTTTCGCAGCCCAGGTTTGATTGGGATACCTCCCAAAGGTGATTCAAGCTTTGATATGCTTGCTACCCTAGATGTACCTATTCCTAAACCCAGGTAGCAAAGAAAATGAGTGGTGGGGGGTTAAGAATGGGAGGGGTCACGCCGAGGGTTCTTTTAACTTCTGTTCATAGTTTGTTATACACGTATTTATGATATTTCAATCTTCTCTTCCATTTCTTACCTGGAATGCAATGTACCATATAGTATTTCTGTGAAGTTCATAGCTTTCTGCAAATTTAAGGCCATTTTTTCTGCTACAATTTGTGATATCTACCTGCGCAACACTCGGGAAATTCTGGCAAAACTTTGGGCTTGTTATTCATAGAAAAAGTTTAGAGTAAAAGGTTGTCCCATTTACACCGCCTGCTTTCAAAAGAAAAAAAAAATTAAGGGTTTAATTTTTCTTATATATATATATATATATATATATATATATATATATATATATATAGGAGATATATCATTTGACTTCAGAGTAAGACTTATAAATTTTATTCCACATTCTAGCCGTTGATTTCCGTCCATCCAACGGTTATAGTTTAAGAAGTTATATTAATTAATTAATTATTAATTACACTATAAATGACAACCGTTGATTTTTGTCTATCAACGGCTGAGATGAGAAGTAAGATTTAAAAGTCTTACTTTGGAATCAAAAGAACTTTTTCCATATATATATATATATATATATATATATATATATATATATAATTGAGTAGAGTTTATATATTTTTTTCTTTCTCTTCTTATTATATGGGCATAATGGATCTAATATATTTTTATTTATACGTAAGAGATATATTTATCTCTTACGATGTAAAACTATTAAACAAAAAATTAAAGTGAAGGCCGAACTATTATATTTTCTTTTTTGTGTTTTTCTAATAGCTTACTATAATTTATATAAGAGACTGAAAAAAATGTATAGAAATATTATCTTCAATTATACTGTTCACGTGTAACCATTTTTATTTCTTATTCAACTAATCTCTTCTAATGTATTTCAACAGAGAACTAGAGAACGAACTATATGGAGGAAACTGTTGCGCAAAACATAATTGGCCGTGTCAAACAATATTAAGATTCGAAGAGGATTTTCAAGACTATATATTTAGTGGTAAAATATGTGAATGGCCTTTGATTTTCTCATTACTTTTAATATATTCTGTAACCACTACACTAATAAATAATAATGTATTGAAATTGTTAGGTCCTGGATAGACCGTATTGCTATACCGGATGGTATGCGCTTAGAGTTAATGTATATCAACCGTATACTAGGCTTATAGCCGAGGTCTGAATCACTGCATACAAGCAATGGGCTTATAGCCAAAGGGTGGGTGTGTGCACAGTGTGGGCAGTATTAGTAAATAGGTTGAATGTGTTTACCTGGGGTCTTTAAGCTCTTATTTATAGGATTACCTTCCTAGGCTTGGGCCTTTTGAGCTCCCCCAATTGCGATAGGATTCAACTCCCTTTCTATTGGGATGTGATCCTCATCTTGTGCCCTTTGGCTGTTCAGAGTTGTTGAGATGTTGGTGACTCTATATCTGGATAGATATTCTAGTAAGTAGTTGGGATATGATATTCATATCCATAACAGTTGCCCCTCAGCTTGGTGTTCCGAATCTCAAAATGCCGAGGTGATTCTGTGTTACCTCGGACGTGATTTGTCCGAGTTTGTTGGCCTCGGATTCGGGCTTTCGATGTTTTGGTGTCTGCGTTTTAGCTCAGAATTACCTTTGCCGAGACCATTCGCGTAACGCTTCTTGATCTTTCTTGGTTTCTGCATGTGAAATTGAGCTTTAGCGTATCGGATTTTTCCTGAGCTCGTTTCCTACCTTCAAGCATTATTTGATTCGATCTTCGACTTCATCGTGTCTGCGATCGAGCTGAAGGTCTTGGCCGGGTTACCATTTTCATTTACGACCTTATGATCAAGCTCATGCCTGACTTGCCATATTTGAGACGACGTTTGGGCTCGAAGGTCGGGGTTTTGGTCTTATCGTATTCCCTTGACCTTTCGTTTCACGCCTGCTGTGACGGTTGTAAGTTTCCACGTGCCTTCCCCTTATTGGGGGTTCGTGCCTCGTGCAGGGCGCGCCGTATTGCGCATTACAGAGGTCATGATTGAGTGCATTTAATGCACTTTGGGTGAAATTCCCTCTTTGCCCCCCACTACTCAACCGTTTAGAAACCTCTCCAACTTCGCTCCTCACGTTTATTTTGGGTTGCCTTTAAGTTCGCCACTTCGGTTTCTCCAGAGAGTTTTCACTCTTCGAAGCTTCGTGTGTGGTGGGTGTCCAGAGTCTTTTGCTCCGTTTCAAGCTTTTCTTTCGCATTTTCTTTTGGTGCACTTCTGGTTTCTTACTGTCGTTTTTGGCCTGAACTGCCGAAGGTTTCCTGGTTCTAAGATCACTTGTTTCCTCTTCGTTTTCCTTTGATCAGGGACCTTTCTTCCTTTGTTTACTTCTAAAACTTCAAGTTTTTGCCTGGTGCATGTTTTGCTGTTTGTTTTGTTTGGGGGTTCTCTGTCACCGATTACACTTTTTCTTGGGGTTTCTAATGAGTGCCCCTGGTTTCTCTTCTGGCCGAGGTGACGAAGTGAGTGAAGGGATAGCGAGGCAATTACCTCGATCAGTTCAATACTGGCTTTTTGGTAGGGAATACACCGAGGAGGAGAAGCTTCAACAGCTTCTTCGTGGTCATAGGGGAGGTCGGGGGAGATCCCGGGGTGGCCCTGGTAGGAGAGAGAGAGAGAGGTCGGAGAGGAGAGGGTCATCAGAGTTAGCTTAATTTTGGAATCAACAGCCCTCCTTTAGCGAGTCCTTCCATTCCTAGGTTGAGTTCCTCTCCTGAGCTTGCCTCTTTGTCTTACATATTGTCGTCCTCCCATGCTGTTCCGGGTCCGAGGTCCGTTCTGAATCGGATTCCTCCCCTTGGTTTGAGTGATAGCTCCTCCAGTCTTTCTTCGACCGAGCTAGGCTTTCCTGAATCAGTCGTCCCTTCTTGCTTCGCTGACTCTGCTGCAAGTCGGGTACCGTTTGTTGACCTCGTCAGTAGTTCTGAAAGCTCCATTCCATTTTCGTGGAGTCCATGCTCATTGCCATCCGATCTCGGAAGTCCTAGATCGTATTTGGATGATTTTTGTACTGATCCTCACCCTTCGTGTTCCAGGACCACAACAATGGAGGAGTCCGACGTCCAGAATTGGGTCACTCACGAGGTCCTACGCCTGCAGTCCACGATGTCTCCTGCTGACGTGGCCCAACTTCCAGTTGGAGACCCCAGTGGGGTGGATATGCTCCCAGCAGGTGACTATCCGGTGTGTGCGGGGCCTATTTTAGACGAACCCCACTTCTTTTTTCTTTATAGAGATCTGATCACCAAGTTGGGGATTCAGTTTCCCTTCACCGAGTTCCAGATGGAAGTAATTCGTAGACTTCGGGTTGCGCCTTCCCAACTCCATCCCAACTCCTGGGCCTTTATCCGGGGTTTTGAATAAGTTTGCACCTACCTCTGTCTTCCTTGTACAGTTTGCCTCTTTTTACACTTTTTTGATGTGTATACAGCCCGGACTGGGGCCGAGGCTAAGGAGAGAAAGGGTTGGGTGACTCTCCGAGGCGCTCCAAAACGGGGTATTTTTATCCCCTACTCCCAATCTTTTAAGGGTTTTAAGGACGCCTACTTCAGAGTAGTAACTCGTTCGGACTGCTTACCGTGGTTTGCCTCGTCTTGGGCAGACGATGGAGACCTGGCGAGTCGGTTTAAGCTTTACTGGACGCAGAGTCACTATCAACGGCGTCCCAAAGATTATGCTACCCCGGAAGTAGCTCTTTCTGAGTCAAAAAGATTGGCGACGTCCGTTCTTCTTGGATATGCCAAGAAATTTGGCATTATCGATCTTAGCCGGATTGTGGATAAATTTGGAGAGGATCTCCTCTGCGAGCTTGGTATGTTGTTTTCTTTTATAGCTTCTCTCCAACGTGTCTTATAATTTGAGTTCTAATATTTGAACCTCTTTTTGCAGTTAGCATGACAAGCACCGAGTATATGAAGTTTCTGCCCAAGAAGTCCGACAAGGGAAAATCCAAGGAAGTCTCGTCTCCCGAGGTATCCAAAAAACGACGGTTTGACGCCGTGATCAGCGGCAGTTCAGTGGGTGACGAGGTGATCATCATTGATGTCCATTCTCCTTTGTCATCACATCTTCCTCCTCCCTCCACCGCTCGTCCAGGGACCCTAATTACTCTAGAGCCCGGAGAATTGTGGAGGGTCGGGGTTACTGACCGACTCAGGGCCGCCTTGAAGCCTCCTCCGAGACTTATTGGCAACTCGGGCTTGACCTCTACTGTGAGGGGCATGCTGGCACGATTGGAGGAAAAGTCTCTGAAGACCACCTCGTTGATTCAAACCTTCCAGGATCTCAACCAGAGTCTTGACATGTCTCTTGCTTCCAATTCGTCCCTTTCCAATAAGGTGGAGGAGCTGAGCAAGTCGAAGTCCGACCTGGAGGTCAAGGTTCGGGAGCTGTCGTTCGAGCTAGAGAAGGCTAAGAAGGATCTGGAATCGGCTACCGTTAAGGCGGATGGTTTGAGTGCTGAGAAGGAGTCCTTCTCAAAGTCCATAGCTGACAAGGATGCCCAGATTGAGACACTTCGAGCTAATTTTGAAGAGGCTAGGGTCGTGGTCATAAATGCCGCAACCGAAGCCTTCGACAATGTCGTTGCTCAAGCTCGGGTTCTGAATCCCGGTCTTATCACTGATGGGATGGACGTGGAATATAGCGTAAAGGACGGCGTTATTGATCCCAGATCTCCTGATTCTGGCAGTGCCGATGGGGAGGAGACCAGTGCCGATATTCCAGTCACTTCTCCTCGTGCCGACCTTATGATGTAATTTTGATTACGGAGCCTTTGAGCCCCTTTTTTATTTTGTCGGAACTTAATTGCCGCCTTGGTTCGGCTTTACAACTTATGCTTTTAATGCTTTCATTTCCTTGAGATCGTTGCTTTATTTCTCGCTTACCTTTGATGTCCGAGGTTCGCTTTCGATCTCATTTTATTCGACTTGCGATTCACCGAGGTTTTTGCTTGTCAATCTAGGATTATCTTTTGTTCGTCAACAAAAATTTTATTCCTTTAATTGATCGTGAAGCTCTTTGGGGCTTCAATTACTTGAATGGAAATCAGTA